CTAACACCTATAAACATAAATATTTTGAACATATAGAGATTTAAAAAAATTAATAATGTTAATAGAATTAATGATAATCTAGGTGTTAAAATTGACAAAGGATGGCACAATTATATCTTTTAAAAACTAAATATCTTTGTGATGTTACGACTATATATTGTTAAAAAACTGTTGTAAACTTGTAATTGTAACACGTCACCACTTATGCACCAGATGTGGACTGTTACACACCTCCCTTAATACTGCTCCCAGCACCTTGTTGTAATGCTTGCACCTGCAACTCTGTCGTCTTACTGTTTTTTGGTATGTACTGTACATAATCTGTCTGTATAACTTTAGTTCATAACTGTAAACCAATAATTGGCAAACTTTAATTTATAACTGTTTTGTTCAGCACCCTGTACGTCACACCACCCTGCAACATTATGAAGATTTATTACACCTGTCTACACTGATAATGCTTACTACTCATACAGTTATAACAGCATTTTCATCTTTATATGGTATAGCTTTAGGCATAGTTTCAAGTTTATTTTTACCTTGTATAATTTTAAATATACTAAAACCTTTAGTTAATACCAACTGATGAGGGACTATTTTCTATCAGAAAATAGTCCCTCATCAGTTGGTATTTTCTATCAGAAAATAGTCCAAAACACATTTTGGATTTTTTGTTTCCATACTTATGTAGTCATTTTTGTGTTTTATTAAACGTTTTCACTTTGATTCCTTAGCATTTGTGCCCATCATTGATCTGATAAGCCCTCACTATTATCTGCCTCATGGTTGTTGATAATTTAATTAATATAATATTATTGCATTTATTTTTTTCTAATTAAATCTCAAAAATTGAAAATTAATTTTGAATTTAGTTAAATAATTTAGAAAATTCTGGAAGAAAAGATTGAACAAGCAATTATTTATTGTAACAGCATCACAACATCTGGCTGCAATTTTTTTAGTTAGATAGATGATCAGCATGACTCTATTGCTAATAAAAAGTATGATGTACAGGGGCAAGACACTACAGTTCTAATTTAAGGTGGAGAGTATATATATCTTAAATTAAATAAATTAAAATATATACTCTCCACCCTATACTAGAACCGTAGTGTCTTGCACCTTTACATCATACTTTTTCATTAGCAATGGAGTTGTGTCAGTCATCTATCAAACTCATTTCAAAGAAAAATTTTTGAATTGAAATAATGTGACTTCCGGTTAGAATCGGAAGTTTGTATATAGTTAATTGGGCCTCCTGCTCCTAAGTCTTCCATATCTGATCTGTAATTTCATTTATGTAACACTGTTCTCAAGAACCAGTGGCCAAGCGGTCTTCATTTCCTGAACACTGGGAGTTCAGTCATGGGTTCGCGCCTTGCTTGGACAGGCTGGCCACGTGGAGTTTTCCGGGTTTTCTCCACATCTGTAACACCTAAATAGGGGCCAGTTTCTCTTAAAAAGACCTCCTGGAAGGCATCTCCCCTATCGCCCAAGTGTTGCATTGCCATAACTAAACAAACTATTCTCAAGATTAAGGAAAGATAGATGGACAACAGTGGGAATTTATAGATCTACAATTTTTTTAAAACTGGAGCTTGATTAGAACAGAATTTAAACTCCTGTATCAATAGTATGAAAATTTGGTCAGAAATATAATCTAACTGGCTTAAGCAAACTAAGCTTAAGTTTGGCTATAAAATATAATGACAAACTATTCACATCATGTTATAGTCATCCAACAAACATTTCCTATGTTTTAACTGGATATACAAATATCCATTGCACCATTTAGTATTATCTAATTACATCATCATTATAGTTCTCCAAGCAATTCTAAATACTTTGGCAACATGTATGATGTTTGTAAATTCATTACACACATATATACATATACACACCATAGTTGAAAAGGTTTCTGAGTCCATATTCATTCATTATATATACAGATTGACATTCAAAAATCTGGCAATCTCTGGACTGAGGAGTGTCAGATTTTTTATGGTTATATATATTTAAAAGAAAATGACTACCTGTTTAATCCTTTAAAGAAAGAAAATTAAACACTAAATGAAAAGCAAATAAAATTTTAATGTTCATCAACTATTGATAAATTAAACAGTTATACAGAATTTTAGTTAGGCGATTCCAAAAAACAGTGGCATACTAATGTGGTAAATTTGAAAATGCATTCCGAAATTCTGAAAAAACTGGATTATCGATTGCTGGATTTTTTAACGTCAACCTGTATATATATAATGATACATAATGAATTTAAACAGTAAAACATCCAGACTTTTACATGATTGTGTCTAACTCAGAGAATTATGTGATAGTTCATATTGTGGACATTCCATTTAAATTCAAAATTTATATGAACAACATGCAAAGAACAGTTAATATTCAAATTTGAAACATTAAACTTTAAAGATGTATGTGAGGCAGGCTTATAAAGTGAGCTAAAACATTTGTCAGAAGAGTAAAACAGTGCTAGAATAGTGAGTTAAGGTATTATTGTTAGTGTGTAAAATTAGTTTTAACTGTTTTTCTGAATATTTAGTATATTTTATAGTATTCTTAGCATTCTGATGATGAGCATGGCCATTAAAAGCTTGTGTGGAGAGGCTAGTGATTAAATGGGCACCTTTTGCCACTTATATTTGAACAAATGAAATATATTGAATGTTTCTTTTAATTAATAAAGTAGCCTTAAAGATTTTATTTTTTTGTATTATTTTACTAAAAATAATATTAGTTCATAGGAGTAGAAAACACTATAAGTCACTTTCTCCAGGCAAAAATCAGTGGAAAAAATCTGCAGTACCTCCCATTCTCATTTCACGTGGTTATGAGTTTATCTCTCCAAAACAGTTATATTGTTACTTTTGATTATTAACATTAAGTTGTGATTATTTTGCTAAAAGAAAGAAGTTGAAAGATGGAATCTACTTAAGGCAATCTGTTCTTATCACACTGTAATATTAGATAGCAGTATTCCATTGACAGGCTACAAATAACATGATGAGAATAGGTAAAGTACTCACATATTCAACTTTTAATATTTTTGAAAATTGATCTGAGTTATAATCTTGATCTTTTATAAAATATAGACAATACTAATAAATTTCATTGTGTGTCAATCTGTCATATTCAAGAAAACTTTTTATATTTATTTTCTTAAATTAATATATTATCATATACACAGTAGTTTCTGAGAATATACAAACAATTTTGAAACACACTTACACATGCTAGTTACATATTTCTAATTGCACATTTCATTTTTCATATGAACTGTTGAAAGTGAAAGTGCCATCAGTCTGTTTTTTCCAAAAACCTACATTGATGCTGAGTTTTGGTTCCTAACAGCATTATTTACATATTCTTTGTAAAGAAATATGAAAATTTATGTTACTTACCCACAGGTAAAAGCACTTAACAATAAATCAAGTGATTTTTAAATTGTTACTTAACTTTATGTCTAAATTTCTCAATACTGATAAAGTGACTTACACACTTTCACTTTCAATAGCTCATAATAATATTGTTTAAAGTTGTATTAATTATTATTTAATTAATATTCAATTCATTTACTATTGTTAATCCCATTGTCATATAAATTCCTCTTGTAAAAAAAGATTATTATTAAAAAAAGCTATTTTAAGAACTACAAAGATAGAATATTGTCTTTAAATGTAATAAATCTTCATGTGTAAATAGTTTTGTAAAATCAGGAAAGTTAGACTGATAGACTTCTGTGACACTTTATCAGATAACTCTATTACATGAAAATATAAAAATAACCACTTAACAAAACCAATAACCGGTATTAAATAATTGTAAAATGAACTGCAACAATTCGTCTTTTTAGACAAATCGTTGCTTGAGAAAGGTTCTAGGGAAGGAACCGAAAACATTTGCAGTTCATTTTACAATTATTTAATACCGGTTATTGGTTTTGTTAAGTGGTTATTTTTATATTAATCTGGTATTTGAAGATTCTTTAACTATTACATGAAATTTATGTTGAGACTTTCTCCCTCTTTTCAGTCAAACATTCAAACTTTGAGTTCCATGGATTGTAAACAGTACTTGTTAAACACATAACTCTGAGAAAAAACATGCCCACTCAACTATTCATCAAACCATCAAGTTGTATGTTGCTTTCACAAAATAGATTGGTGGACTTATATATTAATGCTCTTTGCAACCCATAGAACTTAATGGCAAGTTTGAGCTTGAATGTTTGGCTGAATAAATGATAAAAAAATATCCAAAATCATTCCATATAATAGAATGTTGCCCAATAAAATGTCACAGAAATTTATATATGCCTAATTTTACAAGACTATCTGTACTTGAAGAAAAAAGCTCTTTATTTGAACTCAAAATTAAAAAAATAATCATTTTTGTGGTTTGTTATTTAGAGAATATGGATTATTAGAACAAGGTCAAAATTTTAATCATAATAATAGAAAAAACTCTTATTATTTATGAGATTTTGATTTACAAGAGGTTTTTAAGAATGAGGTACCTGTACATTTGTAAATCAGGATTATATGGTATTAAAAATGCTGAGTTTATTTCAATAATTCTGCATAATAATTGAAAATCTTAAGTATTTCTGAAATTATATAACACTGTAAAAAATTATTTATTTTTAAAATTTTTATATTCAACTTTAATAACTCATCCTTTCTCTTAACAAAATAAATATTTTTAGAATAGTAAATAAAATTAAAAACAACAATTATTACATACTAAACAATGTGTAATTTTCAAGTGATAAGACACACTTTGAAATGAATGCTATTATATGAATACTATTACATTTAATAATTTAAAATTTAATTATTTTCTAAAAATTATTGAACTTTATAACATTTGATAATTCTCATTTTTTAGATTTATGTAATGAACAACAAAAAAATTGTTTATTGCAATGATAAAATGCAAATAGTTCAAAATCAGTATTCTTTTTCTAAAAATTTACTGTTGGTATGCATATATGGTGACTGAATATATAGAATTGTTTTTAGTGAGCAACTGCCAGTACTATGTATAGGCAACCAATACTTTTTACGTATCTGCCACTATGCTGTACCAGCATTTTCTGGCTGAAAAATAGCCAGATTTAAATTACTATAAATAATTTTTAATTTATAAAAATTATTAAAATTAACTCATGAAACAATACTCACTTTAGCACTATATCCAAACTGAAAATATGATGGGCCAATATATGATGATGTCTGATGTGTTGAAGGAAATATTTGCTTTAGAACAGCTTGTAATATATGAGTGGCTGTATGATTTCTCATACATCTAACTCTATGAAGCTAAATTTAAGATGTAATAAAAAAATTACACATGTTTAAAAAAAAGACTTGCATTTAAAGTTAAACAAAATGATTATAACAAAAATTTACAGAATATTTATTTTTCTTGAAAAATTTTATTTAAATAAGTTACAGTTAAGCATCAGTTAAACAGAAAACAAATAATCTTTTGATATTACTTTAATAAAAACACAATACAACTTAAAACTGCAAACACTTTCAGTAAAATAAAATTTACAATCAGGCAAAAAGATGAAATACAACTAAGTAAAGCACAAATTTACTGAAAGTGTTTGTAATTTTTAAATTTCAGTTTGTTTTTATTTATTGTCCTGTTGTTAAAGTAATATTTAAAAACAGTTTTCCTATTTATCTATTTATTTATTCATTCTTTTCCTCTTAAGTATTACAAATTGTTATGGCCAAATTACCAGGTAATACAGGATAATTATAAATTATTGAGCATATTTCAGGAAGGAATAAAAAAAAACATGGTAAAGTATTCACATGTACACTGTTTTATTTAATAGGCCATTAAATAAAATATTTTAAATCTTAAATAAATTTCATCTGAGCTCCATGTGTAACACAAAATATCCAGATGCCATTCAATTTTGCACAATGTGTTACAGAGAATTTCAGCAGTTAGCCCTCCACTGACTTCACCATTCATCTTTTCAGTTCTTCAATGTTGCAAACCTCTGTTGTGCACACACTGTTTTTGACAAATCCCCAAAGAAAGAAATCTAGTGGTGTAATGTTGGGAAGTTGAGGTGGCCAGGAAATTGGTTCTCTGCAGCCAATCCAACATTCAGGAAATTTTTACTGTGGGTAGTCCCAAACAATTAAACACCAGTGTAGAGGTGCCCCACCTTGCTAGAAGTAAAAATTCAGTTGTCAGTATTCAATTTGTGATATCGTGTGGTATACCCTACAACATATCAAGGTAGTGCTAGTCACTGTATGCTTGGAAAAGAAAGTTCCCTAATTTTCCATCAGTGCCAACTATGTTCAGTCAAGGTCAGCACAAACTTTCACAGCTACTCTATCATCTGAAAAAAAAACAGAAGTCCCTATGTTTCCTGAAATGCACTCAATAATTTATAACCACTCTGTATAATAATTTGCATAAAATAAGATTTTCAATTTTATGTCTATAAAACAATATTTCATTACTAAATATACTTATTATATAAAATTTTCAATAAATATAGACTGTAAAGGCAATTTAAACAGTTCTGCCTTTATTAGTACAGTTTCTAAACTCTATTAAAGTTCACCAATTCAAAAATAGTTTGAATAATATTTTTGGAATAATTCACAAACTAAAATTAATTATAACTACTTGAAAAAAGTTGTTTTTTGTTATTTAAGAAATCATAGAAATAAACTTGTGCTATTGACCAATTATGCTTAATAGAACAAACAAAAAATTGGAACAAGAATCTAATTAGTTTCTTCCTTACTGTATTCATTACTTGCTCAGCCAAGTTTGTGATCCTAAGTTAATACAGCACTGAACAATAAGGACCTTGCATTATTAAAGCACAAACTTAAGATCGAACAAGAGTCTATTTCTCAAATAGTCTCCCAGACAATTCAAATGTTTATCATAAGACAGTACAGTAGAACCTCGAAAACTCGGCTCTCCGGATAACTCGGCCACACCCTGGCAGGGCAAAAAAATCCTTAGTTAATTAATTTTCATTATAGACAGCTTTATAAAAGTATAAAAGCGCTCATAAAGTATTTTTCTGAGGTCTGTCTTATCAGGTAAATTACTGTACACAGTGTATTCATTAATTTTCATTTTCATTTAGTAAATGCTCTATGCCTTCATAAAGTACGTACTTTTCCTTTGTTTAAGGGTATTTGGGCAGTTAATTCTCTGTTATATTCTCAAGTAAACAATACATACAAGTACAGTACAGTATTTTCTGCGGAAACACTCGTACTTATTTTTTTAACCCCATTCCCGATAACCCGGCATTTTCACAAACTCGGCCACCCTTCGGTCCACATTAGGCCGAGTTTTCGAGGTTCTACTGTATCAGTTTTTGTATGTATTGCATTGTGAAAAGAATGTGATCAAAACTTGTAGTGTCCAATGTCATATGTCAGTGATGACTCACTTTTAAATTCATTCAAAGTTTGGAATACAAGAAAAATTCAAAAATCAGAACAGAAAAGATTCAAATAGAAGAATTTTAAATACTGAATGAGAAAACTGGCTTGTCAAGTTGTGTGTGAATTTTGCTATTGATTTTCTTAATATTGATAAAAGATAGTTCCCAGAATTACAAATCCTGTTTAACACTCAGCAGTGGGTGACGACTACAGTCAACAAGGGTGATCGTGTAGCAGTGGTGAGGGACAACTATAGATTTTGAGGGGTATCGCAAAAAACTAGCCTAAAACTATCGCAAAAAAAAATTCACACGAAAAATGAATTATGTAACAATAAAAAAAGACTTTTCTTTACTAGACATAACTGTTTACAAAATCTTTTTTTGAAACAGTAATGAGAAATAACACGTGAAAAAATATCCTAAAAATTTTGCACGTTTATTCTCCACTACTAAGCGGTAGCACCATACCTGACTATTTCACTGTTGAAAGGTTAATGCATGTACACTGGTAGAAATAAACAAATACACTACAGTCCCACTCTTTCACAACTATCTAACACTTTCAAATCCCATATGGGAGTATAAGCAGTTGTATATACTTTCTTGTGAAATTAACAGTTTTTTTAAGGGACCTGAACACATTAAACTCATTGGCACCAAGTCTGGGCTGTATAGTGCAGGGGTGGCCAACAAGTTGATCGCGAAGCCAATTTTTGTTGATCGCTCATGATGTGGACTTAATATGTTACACTTGTAACTGAACACAGCAGTGAATGTAACATGCAAATGCAACTATAGTGATATTGGACCGCCACATCCTCCCTCAGATGTGGTTTTGTTGGTCCATGTGCAATCCTTTGTCTACATTTGTTTTGTTGGTCCTTTGTCTACATTTCTTATTTCTTTTTACAACTGTGTGCAAACAGTTGTAAAAAGAAATAAGAAATGTAGACAAAGGGTCATAAAACTGAAAAAAGAAAGGCAGGAAGAGGGACAGAGAGAGTAGGTCGGGACACGGTAGAGAGAGGAAGGGTGAAGTGGTGGTCCCCAAAAATGACAATGTTGAGTTTCAATTTTTCTTCTGTTTAAAATGTAAGTACTTTTTCATCATGTTTTAAATTAAATTGCGGCTTTTCTTACCTATCTAAATATAGTATGTATTTCACACCTCTCCCTCGCCACTTAGACTACGCCTACTACAAGTCAATTGCAACACATTTTTAAGATTAAAAGTAGATCTTATGTATAGTGGATGATTCATACATTGCTATCATACAGGGTGGTTATAATTAAAGTTGCGTTACTCAGACCATTCTTGTGGACGTATTTTGATGAAACTTGGTATGTATGTTATAAGGACCATGGGAAAAAGGAAAATGCAAAAAAAAAAAAAATATTTGTTTGAATTTTTACCAATGCTGTAAGGCATTTTGAACACATAATTGATGCAAATGGATTGCACATTGAACAAATATTGTGAATAAAAACCTTTTGCATGTTTCCATTTTGTGTTTCTTGTTCTTTGTGCACCATTTTTTCACCTAGTAGTAAAAATTCAAACAAATATCTTTTTTGCATTTTCCTTTTTCCCATGGTCCTTATAACATATACTGTATACCAAGTTTCATCAAAATACGTCCACGAGAATGGGCTCTAGATAGGTCTGAGTAGCGCAACTTTAATTATAACCACTCTGTATTTCAACAAGATGTTTGTTTGAACAGCTGTACACAACCTTGTGTAATTGTGAAAAAGTATCATGTAATATGTAATATTTTCAAATATAATTACAGACTTATCAGTTACTGCATAAATTTTAACATTAAAAAAAATTATTTTTAACANGTATAATATTTATATATTTATTATAATTAAGACTTATTTAGCATATTTTTTAAAATGAAAAACTTATTTCTGTTAAATATCAAATTTTATTATTTTAAAGTTTTTTCCTTTCCTTTCTCTGGGATATTTCAAAGATCACTGTAAAACTTTTAAGCTAAACTTTTTAAACTGAACTTCTATAGGATTGTGTTAATGTTTTTGAATTTCATTTTAGCTTTGTGTTAAAATTATTTTGTCATTCATATTTTTTATGACATGATTTCCTACATCATAGAATGAAATTTTAGGAATTTTTATTTAAGTAATAAATTATTTAGTTCATTATATTCTTTATGAATGTAAAATTATGCTTTACCAGTATATATAATGTCCATGTACTGTACAGTAATTTGCAAAAGAAATTATTGAGAAAGTTGATATGTTTTTTGTTTAAATGTAGTTCTAAATTAGCATTAAGTGATCATAAACAAATATTTTTTGACATATATATATATATGGTTACAAGCTGATAGAGTAAAGAAAGATGAAATTATCTATTTAGCTATTTAGAGTAAAGAAAGATGAAATTATCTATCTAATAGCTTTAGTTAGCTATTTAGCTAACTAAATTATATTTTGTTTTTTTCTTTTTCTTTCTTTTTACAAAGATATTTTATATCTGTCTAATTAAATATGAAAAAAAAACAAAAATTAAATAGAATTTAATGTATACCTATTCATTTAATACTTTTTTTAATTTATATTTAGAATATTTTTACAATGTTAAGGCAATGTGATCCTTTGGAACATTTAATGTTATCAAATGTTACAGAATGTAGACCAGTGGAATTTTTTGAAAATTCCTTAATTTCAGAAGGTAACTTTTATATAATTACATAGCATATAATAACATATTAAATTTTTTATTTTGATGATTATAATTAGATTTTTCTTTACAGATCCATCAGTTTGTTCAAGTGTATTAGTGATATTAGATTGTATAGACTTTGTACATAAAAACATTAGTGATGAATTATGGGCAGATTTTGATCATGATATGTTTCATCAACATTCTCCAGATCTCATAGCTCAAGATATTGTTAGAAATGTTTTGGCTTTCACTGGGTAAAATAAAATTTTGATATTGATTATATAATATGTATATAAATTATATTTTAATTCTAATATTATTACAGAGATTATAATATTGTTTTTATGCATTCTCTTGAGAAGAAATTACAATCTGACACAATACCTTACCTCATACAATCACTTATGGTTCTGCTGAAAGGACTTGATTTAACAGCTGTTAAACATGTTGATGAATTATTAATGGTTGAAGGTAAATTAAAATTATGATAAATAATAGTGTTTCAATTTAAAGTAACAATATATTAGACTTTATTAATATTTTGTTAATTTAATTTGAATTTATAACAATTTTTTTGTTTTAAAATTAGATACCACACCACATCCAGAATATAATATATTGTTTAGTAGTGCAACAGGAATTGGCATAATTTGTGAAACAGTTCATCAGGTTGCAAAAATGCGTTATAATTTTTCTCGAGATTTATTGATTTTGGAGCTACTGATATTAGAATTGGGTGAAACGGTATGCATTTTGGATAATATTGCATATATATAAAATGTTACTTTATAATAAAATTCTCAATCTAAATAATGTTAAATACAATTTTTTTGTAGTGATATAAAAACGTTCAGATGACAAAATAATTTCATTAGTAAGCTAGGCTTACCAGATGTCCCATTTTGACCGGGATTGTCCTGGTTTGATGATGTGGTCCCGGCATCATGACCAGTTTTTCATTTTGTCCTGGTTATTTGGTAAAATTTTAAAAGTGCCAAATATACAAGAAGTAAAAATAGTGTAGCCGTGGGTAAAATGGCAATTTTGCAACTAAATAATCCCCTCTGTTACACTCATCGTTGCAAATCTAAATATTCTGTATCTAGATCTAAGTACTTTTAATGTTGTCTAGATATTTTCCCCAAAATTTATAGCATATGGCCTAATAAATTTAGTTGTTTTGTTTTTCCATTCAGGTATTTCTTCACAGAATTTATAATAGCATGTAGCCTATGAGGTACAGATATTTTTATTTCATTTTTTGGATATTTTGTTTCAATTAAGAGTTGGCAACTCTAAAACTTACACTGGCCATGTCATAGTGGCACATGTCCTATCTTAGTCAAGTTCAAATTACTGGTCAGCATTTGTGATTATTTTGTATTGTACATTAAATTTATTTATTCTCCAAAATGCCAAAAAGAAACTGTGTTTACTGATAATTGAAAAAAGGATTATCCATTTTTGAAAAAAATCTGTGATCATATTGACGAAGTAAAATATGAACTTTGATTTTCAGAATTTTCAGTAACTCATGGTGGGCATTCAGACATTAAAATCACTTGAAATGTGCAAAACATAAGGCAACCCTTGTAGCAATAGGAACTTCCTCAAATATATTGTCGTATTTTAAAAATACTGATTTAAGTGACAAAGAATTTTTATAGAAAGTTCATATTAATGGTAAATATTAATAACTTCTTAATAATAAAGTATGTTCAGTTGAGTTATTAAAAATTGCTTTTAACTCGTTTTTTGTTAACAACTTTTTATATAGCCTTTTCAATCATAGGTATTTACTTATCCTAGCAAGCTTTATTTTCTGTTGTGATTACTTTCTCAAAATTGTCCCTGTTTGAGAAAATAATATTATGATAAGCCTAAGTATAGCAACATAATTTTATTTTAAAACAATTTGATTTTAATATTTACATAGTATGTATGCATCTATAGATGAGCAAATTTTGATAAATTTGAAAATAAACATCATTTATTTACCAGAATGAGTACAAGCAAATATTGATAACACTGAAAATTTTTATACTCTAGTATTTTATTCAATGCAAAAGTTATATACATTGTATTACTTTTACTGATAAAAAAATACAAACCTTATCAAATGCTAAATGTACTTCAATTCCAGGTAATGCATTTCCTTTCTGTACTAAGCCCCAATGAAAAACATAACCTTGATATTTTTGAACATCTTCAACTTTAAATAAAAATGCCTGAAACATAATTTAATTCATAACTATTACAATTAAACTTTAATAAATAATCTATAAATAACTAATTCTAACTTTAATAAGTAAAAGATTTTTTTATCATCATTATCAAAAAATTACTAAAAGAAAATATAATTTTTTCATATAATATTATAAAAAGTAAAATAATATAAAATTTTAAATCTTAAGGAATCATCATCATATATTTTCATTATAATTTACAGAATGATATAAATTTGGAATTTTTAAACAATAAACAGGAATTCAGTAAAAAGAAACCAAAACAAGTCAAATAAAATTAATTTATAATAATAAAGCCTGAACAGATAATAATATATAAAGTAAAATATTAATATTAAGAATTAATATAAAAAATAAAAATTATACAAATTAACAAATACATACCTGTCCAGCAATGCTGCCAATATCTGAAATCTGTCCACCAGATTCTGAATAGAAATTAGTCTCTTTCATTAATAACCAGCAATAATCATTTTCATGCACTATATCCATTAAATTGCTATTAGCTGATATAACTGCTACAATTTCACTCACTAAAGGATCAAATCCTAAAAATAGAAAATTTGTTTAAGTTAGTCATAAAACTTCTATTTAAACTGAATTAAAATAAGTTCAAATGTCAATCAGATAATACAGTGGTGCCTCATATAATGTACGCCTCAAATAACGAATGCTGTGAACAACGGACTTTCTGTTTGGCCGTTACGTGACTTGAGCAATGAACTGGCTGCGAACAACAGATAATACAGTGGTGCCTCATATAATGGATGCTGCAAACAACGGACTTTCTGTTTGGCCGTTACATGAGGCAAACAACGGTCTTTCTGCGAACAAGTGCAAATGATGTTTCCACTCTTTTGTCGTTGCCAATGACAATCTGCTATTTTTATAATATATTATTATTATTAGAATATATTATTAGTATATCTGAAGTACAGAGCTCCCGTTGGGATTCGGCTTGCTCCCTTGTTTATTACGTACTGTACATCACCTCAGTGCAGGGTATTTACATTTATTCAAGTGTTGTGCAAATCATGGCTTCTAAAAAAACAGAAAGGTGATTTCAATTGAAACAAAGCAAGA